TACATGGTGAGCAAAAAACATCAAATGAGGTAGATCAGGGAACAGCGTTCTCTCTGGCTTTTCTCAGTACTATTGAAACAGGAAGAGCATAAAGTTCTTGCCTTAGTAGTCAACCATGACTTTTTTTCTTTTTTTTTTTTAATTTTATCTTCAGAATTTTCTCAATTTATCCAAGTGAAAAAGAATTTTTCTGACTGAGAAGTAATAGAAAATGCTATGCAAATAGAGGCAGGCACAGTGATTTCATGATAATGATATTTACTTAAAAGTGGCTATATCCCAGAAAAAATCAGATCTATGAAGATAATGATAACTAAACCCAGCATTCTCTGAGAAGCCACCATACTGAAGCTTTCTGCTCTTCCATGTTTGCCTCATTTGATCCTTCCAACAGTCTGAACAGGTAGATAGTACACCATCCCCAGTCACATTTTTTTAAAAAGTAGAGGCTCAGATAATCTCATTGACTTGCCCAAAGAGACAGCACTTACAAGAGCCAGTACAACAACCTGGGTCTGGAAGACTCTGGTGCCAAACTTTAGTACCTATTGAAGACGCTTTGGTGGTGCCCCTGAAAGAATTTGAAAATAGGTCACCATTAATAAGTCACCTACATCAGAGGCTAGTTGATCAGTCTTCTGAAACACAAACCAAAATTCAGGACAGATTCAATTTTGAATATTGTGCCTGGAAATATCTGGAGTGTGGTGGAACTGTTTTCAGCACCCCAGAGGGAAGTGACCCATAGAGCATCACATGGCAAGTCAGGCACTGGGACAGGACTACACCCAGCCTTCCTGGTTCCTGGCCCATAGTTCTTTCCATCATTTTAAATTGCTTTCCCTGCTAAATGACATCAGCTGCACTTATCAATTACATAGCAGTGTTCTAGAAGAGAACATCAGCTGCTTTAAAAAAAACAACATAGCATATGATCTAGGCATGTGATAATGCCCAAATAAATGCATATAAAAATTGGAAAAATCCAAATAAGCTCCAATTTTGAGTTAATGGTATAATACTGATGTCAATGGTGTACATCCTTTAGACAATGCCATTAAGTTAAATAAGAAATTAATGTAACAGGAAGATGGGCTAAAATATTTACTCACTTACTATGCATAGAGTATAATATTAAAACAGCCAAAATGGGAGAGATGCATGATGTGGTGGGTCCTTTCCAAGACTAGAAGAGGTGGTGACAGAGTCACTTCTGGGCCAAGCTCTTCCCAGTGCTCATTGAACTTGTTTTCTACACCTAGGTCACTGCCACCATCTGCTCCTTCCACAAAGTTAGAACCCTCAGTGTGACCACTGATTCTCTGACCTCCAGTCTTCACATAATGGCTAAAAGTGTGGACTCTGGTTTGGGACCTGAGTTCAAATCCAGACTCCCCCTTTTCTAGCAGCATGGCCATGGGCAAGGTACCTAACCTCTCTCTTAAGTCTTAGTTCCTTATAGTTTTCAGCCTCTCAAGACTGCTTTTAAGATTAAATTAGAAAGACAGATGTTTAGAGGTCCTTGGAATATATAGTTAAGACCCTGTGAGCATTAGACATGGTGATGTTGAGGGGATGGGGAGGGGAAGAGGAAGGGTCAGGCTCCCTTCCTTCTCTCCTGACCCATGGGTCACCAAAGCCTCTTCACTGTGTTCCCCAAACTTCTCTCAAACCTTCTCCTTCCATCCCCATTCCCCTAATTTAGGCTGAGATATTGCAACTCCTCCCGACTATGTGTACTCAGTGACTCATAAATAACTTTCTAAAGGAGATCTGATCTTCCACCAGCATGGCATAGAGGATGCAGAGAGTGGTTGGTGCCTGATGGCTTGTGATTATCTATGTATCTATCTAATTGCCTATTAGGCTCAAATTCCCCAAGGCAGGATTTGTGTCTGATTCAGGTTGAGAGTCCCCAGATTGCTGGCCTCATGTAGTCACTCAAATAAAATACACTTGTGTGTTTAGATCTTGTCATGGTTGGTCTTTCTGGTCATTCAGCCCAAAGGTAATTTTCTCAGCCAATCCAAATCATGTCCAATTATATCGGATTGAATTCTTCATTTGATCCTTATAACAGCCCTATGTGAAGGGATAATTGTCACATGTGTAATTTGCCGGTGGCCTCAGCTAAAAAATAAAGGTCTTAAAAACATACCATCTTCCCAGTTGTCATTCTAGGGTTGTGCTTTCTGCTTTGTGGAGTGGATGTGGGTATTTTGTAAGTTCATAGTAACTTGGTCTCTCAGAGACCTTGGCAGCCATTAGAACACTCAAAGGGTATTTCCACACTTCAGGGAAGGTTTGCATACCCCTCATCCAACTTCTGTTTTGAGAAGCAAGCTGTGGGTTATCAGAGTCCAGGATGGGACTGAGGAGACAGATTGTCACTGTTAAATTTTGGCATCACTTGTGGGGCCACACCTTTTCCTGAAGTCAACTTCCAGGATACAGGGACATTGAGTAGGGAAAGTTACTACAACCCTCTGTCCCCATGTCTAGATTCATCCAGAGTGACCATGTGGTATAGCAGATCTGGTGCAGTGTCCATCAGACTCTGCACAGTATTTGAATGTAATATCTGATTCATAAGGATCAACTAACATTTTGTCTGTGTCTGTGTCTGTGGTTGTCTAAAGTGATGCAAGTTTGTGTGATTTCCTTGTGATGATCCCATTCTAACTGAACTGGGGCCAAGGGTTGATGTGATAATCTGTTTCAGCTTTGGTGACTCTTGTTCATTTGTGAAATATCCTCTACACCCCATTGACAAAAGAGATTCACTCAACTGCCTACTTACCACCACCACCACCACCTCTATTAGGATGGACCCCCTCCACACTGCAGCCAAAGTTATAATCTGTAAACAGGTCTAAGCATGGCCCTCCCTTTCTTCAGACATCCAGTGGTTGGTTCCATAGGATAAGATTCTAATTCTTCACCCTGGCAAACAAGATTCTTAAATTCAGCTGAATTCTTCAGCCTCGTTCCATTCCTCCCAGCATCCCTCCCCGTTAGCCTTGTCATTCTGTGAGCTTTCTTTGCTCTTGATTTCTCTGCCTTGCACGCATGACCCATGAGAATGAGCTCAGGCTGGGACATATTGGGCCTAGGGTTAGCAGGAATGAAACAGAAATTGGAAAAGGGAGGAGGGTGAGATGCAATCATACAGTGTAAAAAGTGAGTGCTGATCAGCTCTCCTGTCACAGTGAGAGCAGACTCCTTAAATAAGTTAGAATCTTGCTTTAGCAGCATGGGTTCTATTTTCCCAAACCCCTATTGGTGGTGCATTTCTTTGTTTCAAAGCAAGGGAGAAACCAAGGCAATGGGGGTATAGAAATCATGCACGGAAGACATTTTCCTTATTTTCATGTTAAAATGTTCATGGGGCAGGGGCAAGAAATATTTGAGGGAGGAGAAATATATAGCAAATATGGCATTTTGAAAGGCTAATTGGGTGTGGATGAACATATTGAGATGATATTCTATTATTGTCAGAAATAATGCTTTACAGAGAGGCTATTTGTGAAGCAAGACCAGTTATTATTGATGGATTGATGTGCACATAGGAATATGGAAGCAATAATGCAGAATACAGTGCCTGCAGAAAGATGTCAATCAAACATGAAATTAGAGGGGCAAGAATGAATGAACCCCTTTTGATTTGACCCTGCCTATAGGATTTGACCTGTAGGACCCACATAAACAGATCCAGTGTTGTTTAACCAAGTCTAAAGTGTGCTGTGGATAGTTTGATGATCACGTTGTCCCTCAGAATGGTCTGATGATCACTCTTAGAATTCAAGAACCAAGACAAGCCTGTGAGTCAGCAAACATATGTCTCAAGTTTTAGAATAACATTCTAATTTCAAGCATCTTTCTGTATCCCCACAACTCAGTGAATAATCTTGTAATCCCAATATTTCACCATCGAAACTACAGTCTGCTTACTTCCCATGGAAATGTGACAGAATTCTTTGCTCAGACCATGAGTCCCAATTTGAGGTTTGGGAAACATGATCGAGAGCCTTATGGAATGAGCTCCAGAAATAGAGAAAGATTTTATGAAGATTATTCCATTCTGTTTCAAAATTTGATTTTTTTTAATGCAAAATAAAATTTTCCCAACAGGAACATGGGGGTGGGAGTGGAAAAAGCCAAAAGATCTTAAATGAGTAATGGAAATTCTTTGGGGAGATAATTCAGGAAAGACAGAGTTCCTTTAAATAAGACTAATTGTACAAAGAGCACTACATTATTTGGAAGCTTACCATTTTTTTTGTTGGTGTTTCTGGCCTTTTGCTCCAGGAAAAGCACTTTGGGGTAATCAAGCAAAATTCCTGCTGCTTGACTCTCCAGAGTCAGTTATCAGTAAAGATTCAGATCTCAGACTATTTAATTTCCTAAGAAACTGGGTCAGGGAACACGACTTTGGGGTGGGATACTTTGCTATGTACTTGTAGTGTCTATAATTTGGAACAGAAGATTTGGAGGCCAGCCTCAATTTTAAGTGTGGTACTTTAAAAAAAAAAGGTTCCAAAAAAAATTCTTCATTTGAAATGCACAGCATGGAGCATCCTTGGCCCTCCCATAGTCCAGTAAAGATTTACAGAACAACTTCACTGTCCAACCTGTAAAAAATAGAGTTCTAGCCCCTATTTCTTCTCTATTCTTTTCCCTTGTGTTATTTTTCTCCTGATCACTTACCACCACTAAATGTACTGTTTTATTTACTTCTTTATTGTCTGCGGCTCTCACCCTGCCCTTGGAATGTATATTTCCACAATAGCAAAAAAAAAGACAGTTTTTGCCCAGAGTAGGTGCTCTGTGAATATCTGTTGAGTGACAGCAAGCATGAACTCACTTATCTGCCAGTGCAAGGGCAGTAGGAATGTCAGTTTGAATCCTGCCAGTAGATCTTCAGTTGTCCCTCTCCCTTCGGTCTTCTGGGTGCTTCTGGTACATGCTACAAGAATCTCTTTTGTCTTACCTCTTTGCAGAGCATTGGCTGTGACGACTACCTAGGCTCCGATAAAGTCGTGGACAAATGCGGGGTATGTGGAGGCGATAACACGGGCTGTCAGGTGGTGTCCGGGGTGTTTAAGCATGCCCTTACCAGCCTGGGATACCACCGCGTTGTGGAGATTCCCCAAGGAGCCACAAAAATCAACATCACCGAGATGCACAAGAGCAACAACTACTTGGGTAAGCTTGGTCTTTTTCCAGAGGAAATCATCTGTCGCTGCAGGTTGAAATTTTCCTTCCAGGGTTGTGAGATGGACATGGTGGTATCCGGAGGCCTTGGGACATTTAGAAAGTTCCTCTGGGGAACCCCTAAGTACCACCTGGCCTGCCCCTAAATGAGAAAGAGAGGGAAAATCCTTCTTGCAACTAAATGTAGTACATAGATACATTTAAACCAGCCGTTGTTCCGCCTGAGAGAAACATGATGATGAAGTGGATAACAGACTACATTGACCCTCTGAGATGGGAAGGTCTCTTTATAGAACAAGTAGGTCTGCTGGTCTTCATTCTGTTGGGGAGTGAGGTGGCCAGAGGCAGCTGAAGATTCTGGAGGTCTAAAGCTGATGTCCTTCTTTTCTTTCTTTTGGCTTCACGGGCCATTAGTGGTATGTGTATCTTCCAGACAGCTGTAGAACCCTTAAGCAATCATGTTGAGCAAAATCATCAATATCGGAAGGCTGTTTTTAATCTACTGTCCTGCCAAAGGAGATCTTCATTGATATTTATTTCCGGATTTCCAGGCCATTTACATTCCAACTGGTACAAACCAGTCATAAGAATTTGATTTTGCTGATTTCCAATTTGTATAAGCATGTACAAATCAGTTAAAGAGATAATATAAGGAAGCCATTTTTAAAGTCATTAAGTGAAGAGCAATATTTTTTATTTTTGATTATTCATTGATTAGAAATTTATCTAACACAAACTATGTGCCAGGCAATATTCTTAAAGCTTTTCGTGTATAAAATCTTGAACCCTCTCAACATCCCTAGGACATAGGATCTCTTCCCAGCCCCATTTTACAGATAAGGAAATACACACAGGTAGGTTATTGTAACTTGCCAAGCTCACACAGCCAGAAAGAGGTGGAACTGGGATTCGAACCCAAGTAGTCCAGGTAGGGTAGTCTAGAAGATAACACCCAAGAGCAGTTTCAGACCCTCAGTTCCCCTGGTACACTATTGGGCATACAATATTGATTGCATCCATTGAAAGACCATTAATTTTTCAACTTTCAAGTACCAGGATCACCCCAGAAGATAATTCCAGACCCAGGACCTCCACCTTATTCTGCAGCTCTTCCTTCCCCGCCCAGCCAAATGTAGGCTAACTCCACTTGATTTTATTGGCTGGAGGAGGAAGGATGGCAGATGTGTCTCTGAGACAAACCCAATTAAAGCAGAAAACTGTTATATTTGCTCTGGCAAATCCAGGAGCCACCAAAATGGCAGAATGCCTAGTTTCCCAGTGAGTGGTTCATATGTTATTTTTAATAGCAAGAGAAAAAAAATACTCATTTCGTTTGTACTTTTTTTTTATGAGATCATATCTCAGTAAACATCCTGCCTCCTAGAACGGAAATTGTCCTTCCTGGGATGATTTGAAGTGTGATTGTATTCAAATGCTCCCACAAACAATGCCGCTTTTGATTAGCTTTGTGTGTGATAGCATATTTTCCCTGGCTGTACTTGCTCCTATTCCATAAGCACTTTTCTGGTAGTATACTTGAAGACAAAATAGATATTCTGAGTGACTATCCACTAGGTGCCTGAACGGAAACAGCTCTCGGGGCCTTGGTGTTTCCATCTGGAGTATGGGAATCAGAATCTCAACCTCATTAGCAGTCGTGGGAATCAGTAGGATAACAGATGCTCAACAGAGCCCCTGACACTTGTTAAGCAGCTGGCACTGCCTTTCTTTAGTCTCAGCCCCTGTCAGGACGTCAAAACTTCACGGAATAAAAATTCCCTCTCCCCATAAAAGAGATGAAGAAGAGGAAAAGAGAGAATGGAAGTAACAAGAGGAATGGGAGGGTGATTCAGGAAGTCAGGTTGAACTTTCCATGCCTTTAGACCAGTGGGATGCACAAGAAAGCCATAGTGTCCATGACAGCCGTACAGGATGCCACATGGGCTAGGAGAGAGCGGAAACAGCAGGCGGACTGTAGAGAAAGGAGACTCCGGGGTGATGAATGGAGCTTCCATTCTAACACCATGTCACCCAGGAGGCTCTGTTGAACTTACATCACCTGGATGCACCTGCAAATTGCATTTTCTGTAAAATTTGACTTCATACACAACATTGTCTCATCCATGTGAATAAGTTTATTCTATAGAATAGGCAATCTAAAGGATATTAATTGTTCAAATTTTATATTGTCACTTTTAAAAATTGCACAACTTTTAACAAGTTTTTTCAGTTTCCCTGTTGTTTTCCAGAATTGTCTTTAGTTATTTGTAAAAGCATTCAAACTTTCCTTGTGAACTAGCTGATATTCTTTAGTGACTGAATCCCTAAACTTGATAGCAATAGAAAATAGATTCCCATAAAAACAGTCCGACTTGTATCTTGTATTTTTAGTGCTAGAGATATAGGTATAATCATCTCATTTTTAAAAGATTTCTAAAGTTTTCAACATTTAAATAACTTACCCTACTCATATGGATAATGATAGTGCTCAAGTGCAGATACCATACACCATATTGAAGATATATATATCTTCAATATATATATATATATGATACTTTAGTCTCCAAAGCAATTTCAGGTGTATCTTCTGCCTTTTCAAACTGAACATTGTTTACTTTGCTTGATTAAAAAAGAATTTGGAGTTACTAAAGTTACAATTATGGAGTTTGGGTATGAAAACTGAAATTTAAAAATCAAAAACAAAATAGAAGGAGGCATGTACATCAGAGATCTTGGCTTATATGTTAATAGCAATGGCACATTAAACTTTACTTTGAGTTTGGCCAACAAAATCAGACCTGCCAGCCTCAGATTCTGGTCCTTGCCCTGTTATAGGAGGACTGGCCATGCAGAGCTGGGGGAGGTGGTCAGCTCACTATGTCACGATGTTACTGTTTTCTCTGAGCAAATCTGGCATTTAGTGGCATGCACATTTTAGGAGATAGAATGTTTAATCATCTCATTTGAGCTTCAAAATTCTGTGTTTATTTGAATTTGTTTACATCCTCCAAAATTCAGACTGTTTAATGAGTTCTGGATTCTAGAACTCTCTTTTTCTGTTATTAAGCTATGAATTCTCCCTCTGTGAATTATTCTCAATCCTGCTATTTGGGGGGAAAAGTTGAATCTGATTATTTAAATGATTGATAGTTTATATTACTTTTTTCTTCCTTAATAAGATGTTTTAAAATTATTTTAGCTGAACTATCCAAGTTTGACATAGTTCAGTCAGTTCAGTTTACTAATGTCATTATGCAACAGTTAAGAAATCAGACATGAAAGCATACCAAGCAGAAATTGATTATTCAGAACATTACCACCTGCCAACATGTTACATTGTCATAAAGTTGTAGACTTGGAAGGAATTTTTGAAGGTCTGTAAGCTTTTAAAAATAAATTGACAATACATTTACTTTTAAGCCTGTTCTCATAAAATTTTTAAACAATAAAAATGTTCAGCATTTTAAAAGGAAGAAGTATCATGGATCACCTATTATTTTCAAACTTTATTAGGTGAGCAGCTTTCTATATGGGGAAAGATTACAAGGTTTAAATAATGTGGTGTCTTAAGTCTGTTTGACGATTCATCCCAAGAAATTTTTTTTCATGTGTGTTGTTAAATTTTCAAATGATACAGCCAATCTAGAGCAAAAAGATAAAATCCCTCTTGCTGGGAATCCTACACTTGTTCTCTGTCCTCAACTGTAAAGACAAAGGTAAATAGCTACTGTTAGCAGCTCAGTGTGTCTTATCCAGCCCTTGATACAAATGAAAATATATATTTTCTAAAGTTGATATTATTATACCTACTTTTTAAAATTGCTACATTGATATCTTGGGTATCTTTTCATATCAATACATATAAAGCTGATTCATTGTTGTTGTTGTTGTTTTGTTTTGTTTTTGAGTGCAGAGTATTCCATATAGAAAATGTAATATAATGTATTTAGGTTCTTCTCTATTGGGGAATGTTTAGATTGTCTTCAGTTTTCTAATATTGCGAAAATATTTTAGTTTGGGACTCAAGATGGCAGGCTGAACACATGAGGTTTTCTTCCCCTTCTCCCAAGATTCCATCAAAATAAGACTAAAGGAAAAAAAATATAGAGATATATAACCTATAATCAGCAGGCTGCCCAGAAAGGCGGCATCTATGCACAAATGATTGTAACAAATTTCTGAAATTCAGAAGGTAGATGGACAAAGGTTCATTAACAGGACAGGGCAGTGGCATCACAGGGTCAGTGAGCAGAGGGCATTGTGCTGAGGCGGGACCTGTGGGACAGAGCTTAGGAGCCACTGAGCCTGGGAGGAAGGAGGTAATGTGGAAGGATTCATAAGCTGAAACAATTAAGCCATACCAAACTTTGATTTCTTCTGAAAAAAACTAAAGATGGGACAGGCACACACACACACAAAAAAAAAAAAAAAAAAATCACACACACTCTCTCTCTCTCTCTCTCACACACACACACACACACACATTCAGAATGTGGCATTTACCTCCTCATCAAGAGACTGAAGGAAGTAGGGCATGGGTGAGGAATTAATGCTCCAAGTACAGATGTCAGTATTGGTTCTGGAATTAGAAAAAGGAGCCGTTACGACTGGGACCCCATTTCCTCACTCTCTGGAACTTGGCCTGCTAATAAGGTCTAATAATGGTGGGGGAAGTTCTCAGGCAGCCTTCTCAGGGTTCTTGTCTTACACATCAGTGGATAACTGAAAATAGCATGAATGAACAACTAAGGGTCATTAGACATTTTTTTAAAGCCTATAGAATGAACAAGAAAACCCAAGGTAAATAACTGGAAAAGTTGTTTCTGGAAGAAACAGTGAGTTCTTGGAGAAGAAAAGTTAAAGAAAGGTTCTCTAACACGAAATGCTTCCATAAATATCTTAATACGTATATCCTTTCATACTTACATAAATATTTCTGTAGGATAGATTCCTAGAAGTAGAATTTGCAGGTCAAATGGCACACAAAATTC